CAGTGGTAGTAAGGGGTAGAAATTTAATAGGGTCTGAGGGAAGAAAACAATATAATTAATTAATAAAAAGCAAAAATTACGTATTTGGCATTAAGACAGATCAGGTCCATTGTAGACTTAATGACTGAACAAACTTCTTCTGTATGCAGAGTTCAGGATTTAACATGTGAATTGCCATTGCTTCTGCCGTTTGAAGAAGTTTGATTCGTACTCTTTTAGTGAGTTACTTTGTGGGTAAGCTTGGTGTCCAGACTCAATCAGGTGTTCCAGGATAGAGCTGCCTGTGGGTAAGTGTTCGACGACACTTTTGGATAGCAAAAGCTGGTTACTGCAGACCTAGCTATCTCCACACCAGCAGGTTATTTGATAGATGCACACTGATGAAGCCAGCGCTGGTAGCTTATCCTTCATTTTCATGAGAATCATTGGTTTTGTAGAGACAGTCAATCTGAGTTCAGCAGCAAAAAAGGATTTTTTTCAATATACGGGGCAGGCGTTTTCTTGGTATTTCTGCCAATGAGTCTCCACTGAATTGTAGATTCAAGCAGAGAAGTCTTTTGTGAGCAGATAGCGTGGGCGGTTTTAGTTAGTTTAGGCATCATGGATTTTGTGATGAAACCTTTTAGGTAGCTATTTTCAAGGAGGATTCTCCTCAGTGTTCAGCTCCTTTTCTATAGTTTAGGGGCTATAAATGTTGCGCATTCTGTTATTCATTGAACGGATCAGGTTTCGTATTGTGTATATAGAGGCACCCAACTATGAGAGTTAGTGAGTTATCCGTTCCATGTCGGCTTTCTATAGATGGATCTTTTTAGTGTTCTATCTTGTTAGCTGAACGTCCAGGAAAGATATTTTTGTGTCTGACTGCTTCCCTAATGTGAACTGGACTGCAGGATGTCAGCTGTCGCAAAATTCCTGGATGTCCTCCGAATTCTCCTCACTATCGGAGATAATGAAAGTATCGTCCACGTATCTCTTGTAAAACTCGGAACTATCTGTCATTTTCTCTAGGAATGCCTTGTCTGTTTTTGACATGAAAAAAATGTGTAAGTAACTGGCCAATTGGTGAACCCATAGCTATGCCATCTTTTTGTCAATATATTTCGAAAGATAGCTGAAGATTTAGAGTGCATCTCAATGGAAGTTCCTTTAAATAGTCAGTGGGTGTACCAATGTTTATCTCCTTTGAATCATATGTTTCAGTTATTGGGACATGGTGAGAACATGGTTTTATTAGAAACATTGACATTTTCAATGGAGTTGACAATGTCGAAAGAGTCTCCCAATGATTGGCAGGAAACTTGCCTTCTGACTGGTTCCAGTAGGTCTACTAGCCACTGGGCAGTACGATTATAAGTTGGATTCGTTGTATCGAGAATAAGACGAAGAGGCTTCAGCGATTCGAACATTTCAGCGTCAATGAATAATTCAGTCTTTAGTTTTCAGAGGATGGATGTCCGTTAGTTTTTGTTCGGTTTGCTGCGTCATGTTCTTCTCATTGACCAGTTTTGTGAATTTTGATTCATTGGATATGATGGTCAGCATTTTAGCTGTGTAGTCTTCACGATTCATGATTGCGATTTCTCCACCTTTATCAGGGCGTACCGGGATGATCTCTTTGTTGTCGATTAATTGTTTCAGTGCTTTAAAATGTTCCTCGGTTTATTTGGACCTCTATATTAACCAGTTATGGTACCATCTTACTCTGCACAAACTGTTGTTCTTATATATTATTATTATTGTTCCCTTGGGTTCCTAGTGGAACATAGAACTACACGTCTCCACTTGCTTTTGCTGTACTTTTCACTTGCATCCATGTTAGTCCATACTGTTTCAACTCCTCTTCACACGATCTCCTCCATGTCACCCTTGGACGTCCCACTCGCCGCTTCCCTTTCAGGTTCAACTCGAGCACTGGCTTGACGCGCGATGTCACCCAGCGGCCTCCTCAGCGAGTGAGTGTCCAATCCATCTCCACTTTCTCCTGCATATTTGTTGGGCGATTCGTTCTTGTTTTGTTCGTTCCCATAGTTTCTTGTTAGTGATTCTTTCCGGCCATCTGATCTTCAGTATAGAGGCAGCGAAGACAGTTGTTGATAAAGGTGTGCAACAGACTGTTGGAAATAAATATTCTTTGTGACCCGCCGCCCACTTTCTGATTCGTATAGAAGAACTGACTGGCTTGACGTTTGTATTGAAAATCCGAATTTTGTTTTTGATGCAGGCTGAGTGACGAAGATTTCCAGATTGGTTTCAGGTTGATGAATGTGTTTCTCGCCTTCCCGATTCTCGATTTGACATCCTCGTCCTCGTCCGTTCCTACTGTAGTTGAGACAATGCTCCCTAGATAAGTGAGCGAATGAAGTAACCTCTTTCACATCCTTCCCGTTGATGGTGATTGGCGCTGGATGTTGCTGCTGTTGTTGTTGTTGTTGTTGGTTGGTTGGTTATTTTCATAACCTCCGTCTTGTCTATGTTCACCTGGAGTCCTGTGTTTACTGCTTCTTCGACCAGTTTGTCGGTTTTCGCTTGTAAGCCTTCGATTTTGTGTGACATCAAACATAAATCATACACGCGCGAAATCCAGGTCTTCTAGATTCTTCACGTCGGTCCAGGATATCCCTGTCTTCTGGTTTCCCACTGTTTGACGCATAGTCCAGTCCACCACAATTAGGAATATCATTGATGATAATAAGCACCCTTGTCTGACTTCTGTGTTTACTCCAAACGCCTCGCTGTTGTTCTTGCTTTATTCAAATTCATAAAGGGAAATAAGTGTTTGAAAATTTAAACAATATTTAGTCATTCTCTAGTTTGATCAGTATGCCAATGCAATTTCTGATAAGAGAACGTCCTAATAACCCAGTCAAATAACACAAGGAATGTGAATATTATGTCACCAATTACATATCGAATGATTCGGTCTTCTGCATTTATGACTCCATTCTTGTTGAAAAACGAAGTCGCCACTTTTCAAAATCACGTAAATGGACAGCAGCATCATCATCATCTATCTCCAGGGTAATGTGTGAACACTGTCCAACAAATACCTTTAATTATGCCTCATTCTAGACTGAACCATTATGTACAGAGGTTAATAACAGGACGCAGTAGGTCAATTCTTCAACTACTGTGAATCTGAGTTTTTTTTTCCTTCACGTTCCCCAGTGGACCATAGGGCTTCAAGCTAGTGGCTTGAAGTTTCCGTAGCATTGTTTATTTTACAGGATGGGGTTGCTAGCCTCATGTCCAACCTTTCCTCTTTACCAGCATTATTTCTGGCTTAGCGCGGTAAAGGAGTGCGTCGTTGGCCGGGGATCGAACCCCGGACCATGTGCATGGTCAGCGAGCTTCCTAACCGCTATACCACTGACGCACGTGAATCTGAGTGCATCAGCCTTATGAATGTCGTAGCTCTGAGGGAAAGAACACACTTTTAAATGACTGTTCAATTTCACACACAGTGTATGATTAACCTATTCATCAAGACGAATAAACTTGAACTGCTACAAAAAAAATACGATTTCAGCGCTGATGTAATAAAACATTTTATGCATTCCTATTTAATTGCAGCATATTAATAAATAATTAACTAATTATTAACCAATTAACGACACTTTTACATGGTCATAAAAACACTGCTCGATTTTCAAATGTTTACGATATGCCCCATTAATGGAACTACTATCCAAGATAATTTTTTGGTATGTATGTTTGTGAATGGTGATGAACTGGTTTGAAAAAAAAATAATTTTAAAATTTGTAAGTATTTGACAATGACTTCTACAGCATGTGCTCCAGCTACACACCTATGTGAAAGTCTTGAGTAATACTCAGTGAAAATGTACCCTGTTATAGATTTGAAGTGGTTACAAAGAAAATGTTTTTTATGATGCAGAAAAGGCAGTTATTTAGTAGTAATATCAGCAATATATTTTTTTCAAACTCAGTTTTTTCAACTCTAACCTCATGATTAATAATGACAATAAATTATCCTGATTAGTTTATTCCATTCTTGTATACTGGTGCTTATTCGTATTGATTACCAGTCACATTTTCCCAAAGCTTACCACCCAAGTGTAATTAAGAACTAAGTCTTTGAGTAACTGTCGTGCTATCTGTCTCCGATTTCCTTTAGTGTGAGGTAATGCAATAACTCCTCCACCCCTACCCACCCGCGCGCTCATATTAGCAGCAGTTTTTGACAAATACAATATTATCCATAAAGCGTTTTACCTTGATCAGTCGCTTAACTATTTAGGCTGAGTGAGGTAAGGTACTTTTTCAAAGGTAAATCTACCGTAGACTGATTGGAGTATTATTGATTAATTTTCAAGTATCAGTTAGAGAACCACTGGAAAACCTGCAGGGAGTACTGGACAGTTGTTTCATCCTAGTTTGGGGCTCTTCAGTGGTACGCAACCACCGCCAGAGTTCAAACTCAGGACATCTGGTTACAAGGTAAGCTAGCTCGTAGACCACTGAGCCACTGGGATCCGATCCAATAGTCCTTGAATTCTAACTTCTGCCAATTCACGGCATAGCACGACCATTTCGCAATGTCTTCTTCGATGAGTTACTGCCTCATCTTCAACCTGCTGTTAGAAGTTAGAATTCAAGGATCGAGCCCCAGTGGCTCAATGGTCTACGAGCTAGCTCGCCTTGTAATCAGAAGGTCCTGGGTTCGAACCGTGACAGTGGGTGCGTACTGATGAAGAGTCCCAAACTAGGACAATGGAAACAGCTGTGCAGTACTCCCTGCAGGTTTTCCAATGGTTCTCTAACTGATGTCAGCTCATGATGAAATCCTCCATGCAATATTATTGATTAGTCGCGAACTAGAACAAATTATTGTAAAGCTATGTCTGACTTTCAATCGTTTAGTAGGTGATATGCGAATGATGCATATTTTGTACTGATTAAAACAATTTATAAAATTCTAATCCCATTGTGGATAAAATTGCATACTTTCCCATTCATGTCTTTTTTGATTCAATTAGGCTACGCGCCTTAATCGTGTGGAACAAATTAATCTACTATTAATGTATGGAGCTGATGTGAACGCCCGTTGTAAACGTCCAAAAGAGATTGTGAACAGTTTCAACCTTTGTATACGTCCACAGTCAGTTGACGGAGATACCCCACTACATGTTGCAGCGAACTACAATCAAAGAGCAGCTGTTTTGCGTCTTTTGTCTTGGGGTGCTGATCCAACACTCGTGAATGCCGACAATATGACGCCTATACAAGTAGCACAAAATAATGGGAATACTGAACTGGCTGAATTAATCCGATTGTTTAGAGGAAGAAAAGAGTCGAGTAAGTCAGTGGTGTATTTATTTATGTCAGGCTTGTTAAAGTTATTGACCAACAGGGTGTTATATTTTTGGTATTCTAATGATTAGCACTTTTCTATTGGATACCGAGTCAATTCGTTTTTCAAAAACAGTTTTACATAAATCTATGCAATCTGAAGCATAAATACTATTGAGTTAAACCACAGTTCATTGACAACATTGTATTTCACAGATCATTCATGATAGGAAATAAAAGTGTTATGCTATTATATGATAACAAGTCGTGGAATTGTTATCTAGTGATTTCGAAACTCATACTTCAAACTAGGGACTATAGATGAAATTCTCATACACTTATTGTCTCTTTTTGATATCGTTGTGTTCTCTGAGCTGGTTGATTTAATTGAGGAGCTTTCGTTGTCCTTATAGACATCATCTTCAGCGCAGGTGAACTCACTTGAATTCCCCATGAATGATAAAACTGAATCTCCTGACAACCATTATCGTGACTGGTTGTTAGTTTAGGTCTCTATTGGCCATTTTTATTGACTTGGAATGCGAACTTCTTGTCAGGCTATTTGTGTTTCATCAGTTGGTAAATATGGTTTATAGTGATATGTTTGTTAATTGCTGATTCAAATGAGTACCAACCAGGCTTCTAGAAATTCCCTGGTATTTTTGGTGTCGCCTCTATTTAAAATTTCTACATTTTCTTAATCAAATTGGTGTCCGTAGTTATCTACATTCATCGATATGAAAGAATGCATATCGTGCCTGTTTACAGCTAATCTGTGTATTGGATTTGGACTCGACGCGAACGCCCACTTTGACCGATGTAATGTCTGTTACACTTCATTCAAATTTATTTTGTAAATGGAATTTAATTGGTGGATGGTGACTAGCCGTGGAAACCAGGATGCGCATTTCGCCCTATTTAGGACTTGTAAGCTGAATGTACCTGCATTCCCCAGTCAGTGATGATGTTCCCACCGAGGCTCGAACCCAGTGACCATGGTTTCAAACGCCAAAGCGTTATCCACTAGACCACTTGGGCCACGAGAGCCACCTCTTGTGCAACGGGTCATATTGATTCAATTGAATTTTGCATTTTCCCGTCGATTGATTGGACCGAAGTGCTCGGTCTCAGGTTGACATGTCGGCTTCTTGAGCAGATGCTTCGACGATGTCTGGGCATTTAATTAGTATTTAATTGGTGGATGGTGACTAGCAGTGGAATCCAATCCAGGATGCGCATTTCGTCCTATTTGGGACTCGTCAGCTGGATGTACCTGCATTTCTCAGTGAGTGATGATGTTCCCACCGAGGCTCGAACCCAGTGACCATGGTTTCAAACGCCAAAGCGTTATCCACTAGACCACTTGGGCCACGAGAGCCACCTCTTGTGCAACGGGTCATATTGATTCAATTGAATTTTGCATTTTCCCGTCGATTGATTGGACCGAAGTGCTCGGTCTCAGGTTGACATGTCGGCTTCTTGAGCAGATGCTTCGACGATGTCTGGGCATTTAATTAGTATTTAATTGGTGGATGGTGACTAGCAGTGGAATCCAATCCAGGATGCGCATTTCGTCCTATTTGGGACTCGTCAGCTGGATGTACCTGCATTTCTCTGTGAGTGATGATGTTCCCACCGAGGCTCGAACCCAGTGACCATGGTTTCAAACGCCAAAGCGTTATCCACTAGACCACTTGGGCCACGAGAGCCACCTCTTGTGCAACGGGTCATATTGATTTAATTGAATTTTGCATTTTCCCGTCGATTGATTGGACCGAAGGTTGACATGTCGGCTTCTTGTACAGATGCTTCGACGATGTCTGAGCATGTAATTAGAGTCGAACTGGTGCATGGTGACTAGCAATGGAATCCAGGATGCGTATTTTGTAAATGGTATTACTCTTATCTTCTTTTTCTGTTGGATATTTTGGTTTGCACAATATCGAAAAAAGTGATTGTATTGGCTGGCTGGCTGGCTTGTGTGCTATATACATTTCAAACAGTCTTAGTGTTCTAAGCGTTATGTCACGGGTATTCTTTACATTGGGTAGGATGAGTTTTCTCTCAGTCTTTGAGGATGGTCTTTCTTCGGTACTACGACTTGAGTTGTGTGGGCATTCATTATTTTTATAGACAGCTAATGGGTATTTCTCTTCCATGCTCTTCAGCAGTGGAGTGCTACAGTGTGTGTTTAGACACTTTTAAACAATGTCTGCGTACAGTTTCTTTTGTGAGCTTCAAATCTTCTCCATTGTCTATTGTCTCTGTTTGTGGTGAAGAGAACACCTGGCAATTAAGTGACATTTGTGGTTCAACGCCTGTTAAAATGAATTTTCAAGTAATGTATAAAGTGCAGTACTGTTAGCCAGGTTAATAGAAACTACTAATTGCTACTGTATTCGATAACAAAGTCGATAATTGTTGTGATACAGTGCGTTTTTCTCCGTAGCCTATAGCTTTCATTGCCGGACTTTACCCGCAGCAGTCAACAGGAAGTTCTGTTCCACCTAGATTTCCTGGTTTCCCTTACTTGTCAGCATAGCAGTGGTGACAGTAGAAGTAGTGGTAGTAGTACGAGGAGGAGTATCTGTTCCAGTTGCCGTAGGAAAAGTGACTACATTTAAGGGATATAAACCACATTGATTCATTATGTCGGTTGTTTTCAGTTCATTCTCCATCATAAATAACCCGTGGTAATACGCTAACTTACATACTTACTAAGGGGAAGTAGTATAATTGAATGTCCTGTAAAAAAAGAGAGAAGTATTTTACAGTTGAGTGGGGAAAAGTATTTAGATCTGAGTACGAATTCACTGACAGATTGTGACTGTGCTGTCTATTAAAAGATGTGCAAAACTTGGGCACTGTGGTGGTATGTAATTCCATATTAGTTTGTTTATTAGATGTATCACACAGTGAAACAGGATTAGTATTTACTAGATGACACAGTTTCGAACAAAATTTATTACTGTTCATAATCACATCGCCAATTATAATCACACGACTTCGAAACTTGAGTTTTATAGTTTTCTTTGTCCTCTCTCTCCTATTTGTCGTCGTTGGAGTAGTAGAATTTTCCAGATATCTGGGTGGATAGGTGTTGAATCATTCCTGTTACACGTGTTTGCAGTTGATTCAATAAACAAAGCTTCTGTTATCAATCTCTCCCTCCACCCTGTGTCATTAGATTTTAAAACTGTCATCCTATCCCATCCATCCTATTGTATGGTTGTGTGTAATTGCATGTAGTGAGTGCTATAGCTGAACTATTCTCTAGATTTCTTATCTTATTTGGATCAACCAATCTAGATTTTGCTAGGTTTTTATGCTCGGCTAGTCTGACTGACTGACGCTGTTCTACTACTTTGACCTATGTATTTGACCTGACAATCATTCCAGCAGGGTATTAGATAAACTAAATTGTTTTGTTTAATTGGCTCCACAGGATTGATCCTTTAACCGACAAAGCTTGTTTCTAATTGAGTTTGTGGGTTTGAATGACACTTTTATTCCTGCCTTGTTAAGAATTCTGCGTAAGTTTTCCGAGGTTCCTTCCTTGTATGGAATTACTACTGATGATTTAGATTCCTTGTTGTTGGTGTTGTCTTGCGTACATTTGACATGCATGTCATCATTAATATTATTATTATCCCTATCACTACTATCATTATTGATTTTATTTTTACATTTCCATGTAAATTTCATGACTAATTTATCCGGGTAATTATTAAGTTTCAAGGCTTCTCTTATATGTATAACTTCCTGTCTTAGATTTTCCTTGGTACTACTTAGTTTTTGTGCTCTGTCACTTAAACATTTCACCAATCCTATTTTTACTGACATAGGATGGGATGATCGGAAGTCCAAATATCTGTTTGAATGTGTGGGTTTCCTGTAAACACACCAGTGTGTTTAACTTCCCATCTTCTTTCCTTTTTACACTGCAATCTAACATTGGAAGCTCCCCTTCCTGACTTTCCAATTCATAAGTGAATTGAATTGCCTCTACCTTTGAGTTAATGTGTTGGAAAAATCTACTTGTGTCGTGTGTCATCTACATACCTTCACCATACTTTTGGGGTGGGGGTGAACGTTTCAATCGCTATGTTTTCCCACCTATCCATGAATATATCTGCCACAACCGGGGATATTAATGATCCCATGGCAACTCCCTCAGTTTGTTTGTATATTTTCCCTTGGAATTTAAATACTGTGGAAGTCAGGCACAGCTGCACCCCCAGCATTATGTCGCTGTCTAAATTTAAATTTACTATTTGTACAGTTTCATAAATTATAACTTGACTAAAGGTATTATTGTTATTTTAGTTGGTAAGTAAACTTTCCAAGTGAATGGGCAATTTGTTTAACCTGTCTGCCTACTTGTACTCAGTGACCTCATGCTTATTCATTTACAATGAAGAGTGTTGGATCAGTTGTTCATTAATGAGGATTAAATTTTATTGATTTCTGATAATAGTGACGTTAAATTATACTTCTTTCTACACCCCTTCCCCCAACAATTAGAATAAGCTCAGAGTATAAGAATCACTCAATGTGTGATTTTTAGCATGGCCATCAAATATTTTATGCAGTGTAGAAATTAATGTCAAGGATAAAACTCTATCATGGACTGAGAAGGGTGGGTTGGTTAGTTTGACGACATTTTTTTCATTCCTTTATGTCCCCAGTGGAACATAGGGCTTCAAGCTAGAGGCTTGAAGTTTCTGTAGCAGTGGTGATTATTTTTGCAGGAAGGGGTTGCTAGCTTTATGCCTAGCCCAACCTTCACTCTTTACCAGTCTTATTACTGGCTTAGGGAGGTTAAGGAGTGCCTCAGTGACCGGGAATCGAACCCCGAACCACGTGAGGTGTGATCGGCGAGCGTTCTACCGCTGTGCCACCTTCGCATAGTTTGACGACATTGAATGAGGTGAAGACACAAATACATCTTGCTGGCCACAGCCACAAAACAGAGCATTACACTATCTGTGCATTTTCAGTATCTCTCATAACTCTAGCATACTGACAATGAATTCAGTATGGTAACAATATTGATCTATACGGTTTTTATTTCCTTCTTTAGGTGATATATTCCTGCCTACTCCAACATACAATCCCCACAGACGAATACGGCAGCCACCACCGAATTCATATATCACAGAACCATCTATTCCACAAAATTATTCTCTAAACAATAATAATAACAATAACAATAAGAACATCAATTATAATGCAAATGAAAATCAATCAATCGATAATAATCAAATAAATAATCAATTATTAAAGGAGACTAGCAATTATACTACTACTGATTTGCATTTAAATATTACTGAAAAAAGTGCTACTTGTACATGTGCATATGTTACTTCACCGTCCAATAGGATACTTGATAGCCGACCTGTACAACGTGCAGTTTCATTGGGTGAGTTACTTCAACCGAGTCCATTAGATGTAACAACACCAAAATGGAATGGTGCATGGAATTTAGGTCCAAGTGGATTTAATAGTCCATGTATTATTGATTATCATCATGCGGTATCAAATGATATTTATTGTGATATTACAAGAAATAATGATGGAACAAGTTACGCAGGGACATTAACGCGTCCAGTACAACTGAAACCAAGAATTAAAGGTAATGCCTACTACTTTTTAATGTTAGTATTATGTACTATGTGTTGAATTGCTTGGCAAATGTTTTTGCATATTTCTAGGTATAATATATACTCTTATAATCAATCCACTTAAGTTTTGATTTGAAAAAAAAAGTGTTTATTTCTAATAATTGCTTAATTTTGAGGTGTACTAGGTAGGAATGGTAGGACACTTCACATTCAACAACCTTTATTACTGCCATGGGTTCTCTTTATTGGGTCCAATTTTGGCAGATTTCTTTCTTGCCAAGCTTGAAAATGGTCCATTGAAACCGGTAATAGATAAAATGGATTCTTATTTTTGTTATATTGATGATACGCTTATTATTCTTGTTGAGAAAGTTGACGAGAATGAAATGTTTATAAAATTTAATGATGCACATCCATCGCTCATCTTCACTTGTGAAGAAGAACATGATGGTAGACTACACTTCCCTGATGTCCAGTTGAGCAGCAGAAGAGAGGATGGTTCACTCAAGAGAGATGTCTATAGAAAACCTACATCTGTAGGACAGCATACACATTTCCTCAGTTTTTTACCAATCTGATACAGAACCAATTTGGTCAGATACCTCACGAATAGAGTAAGATGGATCTGTACAGATGACTCCCTAGAAAATGAATAAGGACACATCCAAAATACACTGGCCCAAATGGGTTATCCTAGTAGATTTGTAAGGAGACACATGAACACCAGGTGTAATAAAGAGAAACTGACAACGCAGATAAAGAGAAACAACTATTCCTAAAATTGCAATATAATGGGGACGTGGTTAGTGAAGTCCTACATCCAAGATTATCCAGAGCAATAGAACAGACTTATACTGCCGCCACCCTTTGTTTGTCATTTTCCAGCCGACCAATTATGATTGCTCAAGTGAAAGATAAGCTTCCTAGCTGTGCCACTTCAGTGTGTATCTACAAATTTAGTTGCTCCTGTGGAAAGAGCTATATAGGGCAAACAACTAGACAGCTCAACAAACGCATTAATGAGCATCTTCCTTCCCTCATGGTTCGGAAAAGGCCAAATGAAATCTGTGAGAAGTTCTATTTTGACTCATTTGATTGACAGCTGTCACCAAATGGACAGAAGAAGTGCCTTCAAAGTTATCTATCGCATTCCATCGAGCCTTTCGAACGGAATTCGAACCCGCCTTTTACACATAGCCGAAGCTATGGGAATTAAGTGGAGAGAACAATCCTAGTCTTTTCATACAACATGAGAAGTTTGTTCAACCTTTGTCTTTCCTTTGGCCTAGGTAAATTCTAATCGATGAAACCTCCCACCCTTTCTTATTTTCCATTCCCTTCATACTTTTATGATATTTATTTAAACTCTGATTATCTGTCCACTTCACTCCTTTAGTATTACGTAACTTTTAAGATTTGACCTAATTTATTTATTGAATTGTCTACATATACAAACATATTACCACCGTCGTTATTCTTATCGCCACCTGCATAAACCTTATTATCATTATTATCATCGTTATTACTGACGTCCAAAACATTTAACACATTATTATTATTATTATAATATCCACAAACTCACCGTCATTGGTTAAATTGCTTCATATATAAAACCTATGTAAATTAGAGTAAAGCCTGAAGAAGATCTAATTGGAAACAATAATATTGTTCGCTCATATGTCTTATTGTTTCTATGATGAAAGAGTGACCAGTATAGAGTGATATCATTCTATTTCACAGGCTCTCATCAGCTGCAAACTGCCTCATAATACAATGGTTATAAGAAGTGACAATAACATAATTCTGTGTTTGAATAGTAGTAGAGAAAACATTATAAAACTGAGGCATCGGAAATGTCAGCATTAAAATTCCTTTTTGGTTTAAGTTACCATTAATTAATATGCTTTTGTAATAGAAAAGAAGGGGGAGGGGAGAAGAGAGAAAACAGAAATATCTAATAGCTAACTCAAGAAGGTTATAATTCATAAGATTGAAAATTACTCAGTGAGCTGAAATCACTAATATGCATAGCTAATCAATGTAGCATGCGTCGGTGGCACAGCGGCAGAGTGCTCGCCGACCACGCCTCACGTGGTTCGGGGTTCGATCCCCCGTCACTGACTCACTTCTTTACCTCGGCAAGTCAGCAGTAAGACTGGTAAAGAGGGAAGGCTGTGCTGGGCATGAGGCTAGCAAGCCATCTTGTAAAAATAATCTCCACTGCTACAGAAACTTCAAGCCTCTAGCTTGAAGCCCTATGTTCCACTGGGAACGTAAAGGAATAAAAGGAAATCAATGTAGTCCAAATGGAGATACCAGGGTAGTGAGCGATTAATCACATTGTCTTTCTGTATGCATCAGTTTGGTTTGAAACGTTTCAGCAAGTCGTAGTAAGTTTATTGTCCTTTGTATTTTTTATATGTTGAAGTATTTGAAAATTCCGACGAAATGACCTGTATCCAAAAGGTACCTTGTGGATAGGCTTCATTTCTGTCTTCTCCCTCCCTCCATCCTTTTCTATTTTGAAAGCATATTAATTGATGGTAACTCAAACTCAAAAAGAATTTTAGTGCTTACATTTAGGACGCGTCAGTTTTGTAATATTTTCTCCACTGTTATTCAAACATCAAACATCCCGACATTGTTATTGTCACTTTTTATAACCACTGTAATTCAGGCAACAGCGTGCAGCTGATGAGAACTTGTGAAGTAGAGTGATATCATTTTATACTGCGAATATGGTCTTCCTTTCTTTATCGAAATTTATCAAGGGAACCAAATGTATGAAATTCTTACCGTTTTTTAAATTATCATCTGATTGTCATGAATGCATCTTAGAAATCCGCGTGAATATCACGAACGTTTCTCACTCAGTCAGAATATTGAATTATCAGATCAAATTAATGAGTTTTAATCAATCTGTCAGATTCTTCAAGTCCACTTTACCAGTTGAATAACTAAAAGTCGACAAAGTTTAATGCTTACATATTCCACCGACAGGTTTGGCTTTCTCGGGTTTCTTATCATTATTCCTTTCCATGTCCAGTGGAACAGAAGGGCTCCAAGCTAGACGCTTGACTTTTTGGTAGCAGTGGTATTTATTTTAACGGGATGAGGTTTGCTAGCCTCATGCCCAACCTTCCATCTTTACCAGCCTTATTAATGACTTAGCGAGGTAAAGGAGTGCGTCGATAGCCGGGGATCGAAGCCCGAACCTAAAAGTGTTTTGTCAGTCAAAAACTATACGTTTTCAAATTAATAGTTAGGAAGCTGTCATCTAGGAATGTGGAGACAACACATCTTTCTGAGGTTCATTCAACCCTGAAATTCTGTTTTCCCCTGTCTTTCAATCCTCAGTGAATTTGCATACGCAGTTGGTGCAAATGAGGGACTGACTCAGCATATCATTTGACTTCTTTCACGCTCGAATTACCCACTGAGATAAACAAGACACTTTTTATGACAATGAATGGATCAAATTAAAACTGTCATTAGTGAATAACATTCATCTCATCTACCAATATGATGAGTATTCTAAATTAAGCGTTCCACGGTTGTGTTGTTGGCTTCCGTTTTTTAGTCTGTCTTGTTTATTCAGTGATCGAATTATGTCTAGACTCTGAAGAGGCATTTAAGATGAACTGAAGTCAACAATCTCATTCGTTCGGCATAGTTCACACAACCATCAGCCAGGCCTCCTTTGAACTATGTTTTATGACATGATATTGATAATGGATGGCTTAGAAATACCGAGGAACTTGAATACATAGTTGTCCACATATTCTTCAAACGGGACTCAACCATATGCAGTGTACTTGTACCGGCTGAAAATAATTACCGCATGATTATTATTATTATTGAAACTGCTGTTGAAGATATCACCAAGTCTTGTGACTAAACGTCCAAGACCTCATAGAACACTGATCAATTTTCCTAAAGGGCGTGTGTACTGCTCATCAGTCCTCTCCGTCCTCCTTTATGGCTGTGAGACCTGGCCATTGAGAGTGGAAGACATGAAAAGACTAGCTGTCTTTGATCATAGGTGCCTGCGTTCTATCTCCCGTGTGAAGTGGTATAATAAGTTGAGCAATACTGAGGTTAGGCGTCGAGTGCTATTTATGGAGGGGAGGGGAAATCAATCGACGAGGCCGTGAAATTACATCCACTGAGATGGTTAGGACATGTGTTACGTATGCCTAGTCATCGCCTTCCTCGTCGGGAAATGTTAGGTGATATAGGGGCAGGCTGGAAAAGAGCTAGCGGTGGTCAAACCAAAAGATGGCCTCATCAGTCAATGAAATCTACAACAGTTAGTTTAAGCGAGTCACGTAGAAATGTGTAGACTTCCTAACTGGTTGGGGTTTTCGGGACGGTAAAAACCAATGGAGGCTTGAGACAATTGGTGACATGGCTCAAAATCGTTCTTCATGGCTGGTGCAGATGCATCCACTCCTTGTGACTTATGATTTCCAATGAAACTGTTTTGTTCTTCGTTATTACTATTCCTTTGTCTCACACCTATGTTTGCCGTCTCTATTATGCATATCTTCTATTTTCTTCTCTTGCTTTGTGTGCTACAAGTAGGGAGTGTGGCCACTTGAACTGCTGCACATCGGGTGCAAAGTTCTATGTCGAAAACAGACAGACAGACATTACCCCACTCCACAACCCTTTCTGTTTTCCCGTGATTCGGACCGGCTACAAAACTAGCGAGTTAGTAAACCTAGACAGGTTGTTATAAAAAGAAATATTGTGTAGTACTCATTTATGTGGCTCAAACCCTCGGTGGCCGAATTTAAACTAAATAACCGATAAGCAACCGAGTTCTAAAGACAAACTGACACGAACAGAGAGCGAACATTTTGGTCCTATGTATCAACTGGGAAATCAAAATTGAAAATAATAACTGCAACCAGTTGCACAAGTGATGGCTGTCGGGATCCAATTGGTCTAGTGGATAATGCTTTGGTGTTTGAAACGAATGGTACTGGTTTCGATGCTCGGTAGAGAT